AATTCATAAAATAAAAATACATTTTAATTTGGCCTGGATACCATTTTGTTTAATAGTAAAGAAGACAAGATTTTTATGAGGGTTTTGTTTACACCCTTCTAATTATCTTTAAAAGTATGAAGTTCGCTAATAATGTCATGATTTAAAAAAAAAGTAAATTTGTCGGATGAAATTGATATTTTGCTGTCTCTTCTTTTGTGGTGTAGGGAGTTGTTTTTGTTGTGAGAATGCCTGGTGCCAGGATTTGAACCCAGAACCCTACAATAGTTCTGTACAGTGCTATAGGATATAACATACCGCTTAACCCAGGCTACAGCTCCGCTATACAACCACCAAGCTACACTGCATAATAAGATACCACCAAACATTATTCATTGATTAATATTGATTAAAAAGAGAAATTTCATTTTAACTTAACGTATATTTTTCAAATATTATGAGCTATGGGAAAGGAATTATGATTAATGGTGGGATGATCATATGTTAAGAGCGCTGCTGTGGGGCACAAGGAAGCATAAGAAAACCGTAATCGATGGTCGATTATTTTTTGGATGCGTTTCTGATGGTCCTACATGTAGCATTTGAAATATCACAAAAGGTTCACTAATCATCTCAAGATATGAATAATTATGGCGCTAGACCAGGCACATAAGTGTCAAGATGACATTTAAAGCTACTAAAGAAAACATTATTAAGACTCTTTACAATTAGAGCGAAATATGCATTAAAACCAAAAGTATAGAATTGCAAGACGTCTTCTTTTTTTTTTTTGCATGCACGCAATAAAACGAAAAAAAAAAAGTACTAACTTTGCAGTTCGGTAAGTTTGACTGTTTGAATTGTGCCCAGAAAAAATAACCACGCTATTTGCTTCATTGTATTTCATCACAGTCACAATATTTGTATGCCCAAAATGATTTGAATTCGGATTTGCTTACATTTAAATGCGGGCTATGATCTTGCATTTGAATAAGCATTTGACAAATAATTTCTCATTCTCAGTAAAACCATCAATGTGTTTTATTTTATTTTATTCATTCTGGCATAGCAAATTAATATAAAACAATACAAATACAAAAAAATCAGCAAATTCATAAACATTAAGAATAATTAGGTGAGCCATGGAGCAGCCAAAGCAAAAACACTTTTAAGAGATGTGCTGCTCCCAGAAAATAAATAAAATGAATAACAAACAAAAAAAAAGAAGAAAATCAATGAAAATCATTTTAAATATCATTTAAATATTACTTAGATATGAACAAATCAAATTTATTAGATATAATAAAATAATTTTGAATATCAGGATGGGGGATATTCCAGAATCGGACAAATCTAGTTGGAATTGAATAGTTTAAATCTAAATTGGAATAGCGCTACGGTGCGGCCATAGAAAAGTTACCTTTCACCTTTGTCAAAATTAATTTAATGTAGCTTATATTTTATCTCTAGCATCACTTAATATGTATCCTGTAATTGACACATGCTTTTTAGACATCAATGAAATTGATTTTATTATGATACGGTTACTTTTTCAATAGATGAAATTTATTTTATATTATATGGTATATTTTCATTGTTGAAGCTATAATAATTGCAGGTACCGTAGCACGCAAGGGTAATTAAATCTGATAATAAAATGTTAAGTTCATGTATCCATCAAGATCTTAAGCTTCAGTAATTTGAAATTTAAATGTATTAATAAAAATGCATCTATCTGATTCTATTAACCCAATTTCGATCAGAGACTTTTTTTGTAAGGTAATGTTATTGAATGTAGTAATTATTAAAATGGTAATGACATGAAATTATGATTAATTATCTTAGGAATGGTTATAAAGTAGTAATAGCATTACTCCATTAATCTCAATGATCGAGATAAGGATAGAATTTCCATTTTTTTTTTTATAGGCCTACTATATATTAGTAAGTTCGAAAATTATATTACTGTAAAATAATCATTGATGATGATGAAATTTAGTCATGGTAAAATTTGGTGATTAATATTAAAATGTTGGTTATAATGGAAAAAAAATTAAGATTCAAGAAATTTTATTGATCCATATAAAAAATAAAGAAAATTAAATTGCTTGGCAGATGAATGTAAAAAATATACATTTATTTATGATTAAGAATGATAGGAAGAGAGGAAAGAAATAAAATGAGAGGATAAGAAAAGAATTATAGGATGAAAATAATATTGAAAAATATCGAGTACAGTACAGCTGCAAGGCCAAGGCCAATTGTTCATAAAATTTAATATTCAGGTGCCTGTATTATTGAGAAATTGTGATGATTATGATCGATCAATGAATTATTATTATATTGGTATGACATTAAACTCCATCCGTCGAGCCATCAGCAGCTAAACTGACAGCCCCCTCAGATGTGTCTTAGTGACTGCTGACGGTAAGTTGTTTATGGTCACCCAGTAGCAAGAAAACCAATAGCTGAATGAAGGGTGGATGTGCTCCTTGCAGTCAATAGCCAAGCATCAGTTTGTTTGAATAGGAGTAATAATTACTACTATTATTACAGTATATAATTTGTGTACTGTATTGCGCTTAGGGGCAATATGCGCTATAAATATAACATTGTTATTATTATTATTAGGTCTCTAAAAAACGTGATGCAAGCAACCATGATACAATATTTCCAAACTTGTGGATGAAAGTCATCCCTGCATTCAATTCTTTTTTTTTCAACAAATATGACAGAATTCATATCTAAACATAGAAGTAAAAAGAATATATTATTTGTATTACCATTGAAGTTTTAATTTATCCTTTCAGGAAAAGTGAATACTTTGACATACAGTATTAACATCTCCTAGTATATACCTCTCCGCCCGAACAGAGTTCGTAATCGAGAAAATTTGTAATTCATAGAGTTTGAATTTTCAAAGCATTTTCGTTGAGGATAGTCTGCACTCACTGTGAAGTACTATATTCATTTTAAGTGATTTCCGAATGAAAACATAAACATCAATAGCAAAAACTAGTGTTATTATTCTTTTCGTAACGACACGAGTCCATTGAAATAGCGCCCCCAATGAACAAGAAGCAAGATTCTGTATTCCTACTATGCAGCATGCACAGCTCAAAATGGAATATATCTCAGCTGAAACGATTGATGTTTATTGCTTTAAAGGAAGTTTTGTGTCAATTTAATACTGTAGTTTAACATTTTAAACTTTTATTAAATTTTAAGACTTTATTTAAATAAAATTTTAAATGTTTTTGAGTTTGTTCGTAATGATGTCATCGCCGCAAATCAACTTTCGTAAAATCGATAGTTCATAATTGGGAGGTTCGTATTGGAAGATTTTACTGTACATGAATAAAAAGGAGGCATGAATACCCATGGTTCTAATTAAATCTTTTCTTTGTTAACAACTTTACCTTAATTTGATTTTCCAATATCCTATTTAAATTTCCTTTATCTTTGTTGTCTCCTCTGTTAGTGGTTGGTAGACAATGCTAAAGTTGTAAAGAACATCTCAACAAATATTTCATTTAAATTCTACTGTTGTATTGTAGGTAATCACAAAAAGGAAAGTTCAGGACTTTTCAATGCAAACAAAATTATGAAGTGAACTCTTGGAAACACAGACGCAGGGTTCCCGGAACGCCGCCCTCAGCGGCGAGTGCGAAGCACAACTCGGTCAAAAGTGGAACGTGAAATTTGGATATGGTTTTGTAGTCAGATTTGCGAGAAAAACTTCAGCTACCCGTATTTCTCGACTGAGACGTCAGTGGGAGCTGTCATTTGTATGGCAAGGAGATTGAGCAACCCTTTATTCATATTAAGGGAATTTACGCCCATAAACTTTGTAGTTATTAATATTTTGGTTATAATAGAAAATATTCATTTTTTGGTGACGTCACACTCACATTAGTTAGCATGCATACGTCATAAGCTAGATACG